GCCCAATCTGAGAAACTTGATTGACAGGGGGTTCAAATAGAATTCTACAGCTGAGAGTTCCAGTTAAGAATGACAGTTGAGAGTGGCAGGTTGTTCAGTTAAGAAGTTAAGCAGAGTCAAGGATTGAGGTAGGATCCTGAATTAGGGAAGTGGAACACGTAGTCAATCCCTGAGGAAAATACCTCCTAGTAAAGGGAGGTGATTCCTGCAAATTGATAATGAAGGAAAATTGGAACTTGTGTGCATGTTCCTGCCTTGACAGACTTTAAGAACTTTATGAGAAATAAGTTTCTCCATGTTTGTCTAAGAAGTGAAGGACCAGTGATTTCTCTTCACAGTTTTAAAGAACTGTATGTATAACTGGTTACTTTATTGTGCCAAACTATGACAAACTATCTATTGTTTATAATTATAGAAAGTTACCTCATAGCTATTGCCTGTTCACCTGCCAAGTTGAAACCTGATACCTACCTGACCATCTCCCCATAGAAGTGAAATAAAGCAGTTTGTTTTGAATTAACATTTGCCTCTCATGTGCCAATATCAAGCATATACAAATGAAGGATTTTTGGTTGGCCCTAAATTCCCTAGGCTGGGCCAGCTTATATTTCTGTACATTTAAACAACTGGGTGGGACAGACAAAGAAACAAATCATAAGAAAAGGGACTGCCCAGCTAAAGAAAAAGGAAGTGGGGTATTATTATACGTCAGTTTAGTCATTTTAGCTTCTACGGAGAGTTCAGGGTTGATTTGATCTAGAACCCGTTTACTTGTCTTTTTGGCAGTCCCTGGTATCCATAAAACAGCCTGGCCCACATAAGGGGCAAAATGGCAGCCCAAGGAGGAGGCGCCAGGTCTTCTCCAGGTTGTGGAGGAGAGATTTGGGAAGAGAGGAGGGGGAACAAGGTGTAGTTAACATAGTTAACAGGCTCCCCTCTCTTCATCAGAGGCCTTTGCCAGCCCTGGAGCAGGAACCATGAAGGTGGACATAGAGAACAAAGCAGTTACGGACCCCCCTGGGTTCCTAGATAACCATATAATTGTTTCCAAATAGGAACAAAAATAAATCCCTACAAAATGAATGTATTGTACAAAAGCACATGAAAAACATCATGCTGTGTGTCACTCTCTTTATGCAGCACATGATTCTTTAAAGAAATAAGTGAGAAAAACCTTTAATGCCTCAGAGAGTTACATTTCAATTTAAATGTATTTTTCCCCCAGTTAACATCACAGAGACACAATAGTAATTGCTTTTATAATAACCATTTAACATAATAGTAGCTATCTTTTTTATGGGCACACAGAGAACTTGCTTTTTCTTCAGTCATGTGTCACTGTTTCTGGAATTCACGTGATTTTGTTGCATTATATTTACAGAGACAAGTGGGGTTTTTTTTAAAAAAAGCCTCCCTACACAGTGTCCTAACAGCCATTTCATAAGTACGTAAGAGAAGCCAATGCTGGATCAGGCCAATGGCCCATCTATTCCAACACTCCCTTACACAGTGGCCAAAAATACCAGGTGCCATCAGGAGGTCCAGCAGTGGAGCCAAGACACTAGAAGCCCTTCCACTGTTGCCCCCCCCCAGCACCAAGAATACAGTGCATCACTTGCCCCAGACTGAGATCTCCTATCTATTGTGGCTAATAGCCACTGATGGACTTCTGCTCCATATGCTTATCTGATTCCCTCTTGAAGCTGTCCATGTAGCCACCACCACCTCCTGTGGCAGTGAATTCCATGTGTTAATCAATCTTTGGGTGAAGAAGTACTTCCTTTTATCTGTTCTAACCCAACTGCTCAGCAATTTCATTGAGTGCCTATGAGTTCTTGTATTGTGAGAAAGGGAGAAAAGTACCTCTTTCTCAATCTGCTCTATCCCATGCATACTCTTATAAACCTTGATCATGTCACCCCTCAGCCGTCATTTCTCTGAGCTAAAGAGCCCCAAGCGCTTTAACCTTTCTTCACAGGGAAAGTGTTCCAACCCTTTTATCATTCTAGTTGCCATTTTCTGAACTTTTTCCAATGCTATAATATCCTTTTTGAGGTGTGGTGACCAGAACTGTACACAGTACTCCAAATGAGGTCGCACCATTGATTTATACAGGGGCATTATGATATTGGCTGATTTGTTTTTAATTCCCTTCCTAATAATCCCCAGCATAGCACAGGCCTTTTTTATTGTAGTCGCACACTCATTGAGTTATCTACTACGACTCCAAGATCTCTCTCTTGGTCAGTCTCTGCCAGTTCGGACCCCATCAATGTCTTTAACAGAGCATGGATAGTTGGTACTTCTTGGAAATAGATGCAGAGTAATTTTGTGGGGAGGTCAAAAAACGATGTTTTGACTTACAACAAAAACAGCTGTGTGTGCGGCAACAATGGAAGTACCCATGTTTAGGAAATATGTACCATTGAGTGATAACTGATGATTAGCATGAGTGGTGGGGGAAGTATCCCAGATCAGCCTTCACAAATAGAGGTTTTATCACTGACACAGGAATACCCAGGTTCAAATCTCCACTTAGCCATTTAGTGCACTGGATGACCTTGGACCACTCACATTTTTTTTTACCCAGCTCCTTTAGAATCTCAAGTACGATGAGACTTGACTATGTGGCAGAGGGTTAATTGGTAGCAGTGGCTGATTTTCTGTTCTAAAAGGTTGCAAGTGTTCATTACGAGTAAGTCTAATGAACAATCCTGAATATTAGCCTTCCTGGCCATTCAGCCAGACACTAATTACTGCCTTGTTTCAAAAATGAGATTTTTTTTTAAAAAGCCTGGTTTAAAATAGCTCCCATTCAAACCCAACTGTTCTTGCAATGGAATTTTCAGTAACTGGTTGTGCAGACATTGCCATGGCTCTGGCAAAGCTGCTAAAGTGGCATTTATTCATGTAGAGGTTAAAAATTATTGTTCAGGAGCAGTTGGAGTGATTAGAAATTAATATTCTCTTAAAGCCATTTAAATGCTAAAATGTTTAACCTTTCAAAGACTTCATATTTTTCTTGGCTTCAAGCAATCGTGGGCTGTGCAAGGCATAACCACATAAAACATTCATTTTATCTTGATTTTTATTGTACCTCTAGGCAGGCAGATCTACTGAGTTTCATATATTTTGCACTTATTAGCAGGTATTTAAGTCCCCTAGTGAAACCTGCCAAACATGTCACGGTGTGAAAGCACATTTGCACTCAAGTATAGAGGAGATAATAACTGCTCAATAATGCCGCTGTAGTACCACCCCAGTGTGGGCAAAAGTCTAAATTAGAAAAGACTCATTTTGTGAATGTGAGCCGTAAGATAAATCTTAGTATTATCATTTATCATTTGTCTCATATAGGGCAAACCAGGATCCAAAAGTCTTTCTTCTTTCTTTTCATTTCTTCTCCCTATAGACAGTTTTGGACTAGGAGTGGCCAACATAAGAATTGGCACCATTGATCTCTGGCTTCCATACTTAAGAGTCACCTGGATTGACTGACAGCAGCTCTCCATATTTATGAAGTTTGTACAATTTTTCAGCAATCTTAAGGGTTCCCTCAGATTTACAGACACATCTAGCAAAGCCGCTTGTGGAGCCATTATTTAAATGCTCTGATCCATATGGTAGAGCTCCCCATGGAAAATAGTTTTTGTTTGTTCCAGCGAAGTAATGTTATTAGCTGTATTGCATACTTCCAGGCATGAGTTCAGGGGGAAGATACTTTCTGCTAATTGTGCTGTTCTAATTGCCCATAAGTGCCATATATAAGTCTCAGCAACAACCGTCTGTCTCACTCATTATTAACCATAATGGTGGAAAGTGCCATCAAGTTGCAGCTGCCTCATGGTAACCCTGTAGGGTTTTCAAGGCAAGAGAAGAACAGAGGTAGTTTGCCTGTCTCTGCATAGCAACCCTGGACTTCCTGGTGACCTCCCAACCAGGTACTAACCAGGGCCAACCCTGCTTATCTTCTGAGATCTGATGAAATTGGGCTAGCCCGGTCAGGGTATTAACTATGGGGAAACAATTATTTTATCTCTACTGTGATGCATTTTAGTTTCTCCAGTTTTCTACTTTTGCTCCACCACAATATGGACTATCATGAGCTCCCCACCCCCACCCCAATGGGGCTAGAAATATGTATGCAAATAAATTAAACTATTCGTTTTTAAAACTCACTCAAAGTTTTGTGTATGTGTACTTTGAAATGTGAATAATGGGACTCAGATTTTATTTTTGCACAAAACTAGTCTCAGATTATTAGGAATGTATAATACAGCAGGATGTTGGCTTGCTCTCCAAATATTCATTTTGGCACTAAAGCTAACAAGAAATTCTCTAAGTATAGAAATTTCAAAATTATTACCCCATACTGTCATGGGCTGATCTAATAAACTCCAACAGCATTTCCAGTTCTCATTAGACATAATTCACAGGTACATGGTGCAGTACTTCACACATTAAAGAAAAGTGTTATCTATTAGAGAGATGCTTTTAATGTACAAACCAAGACTTATGCCAGATATTACTTAACAATTCTGAATTTCCCAATCAAAGATTGGATACTTCATCAGACGGCTTATCCCCATATACTACAATAATGGAGTCACTTTCCAAACTGTGACAGTTAAATTACATGTGGTATGTTTATGAATGTGCTTTTTATCACTTGGGCAATTAAGAGTTCAGAAAAAGGTCTCTTTTTATTTCATGGCTGTGAGGTTGTAATATTCATCCCGAATTGGCTCTTAAAATTTATGTTTCAGCAGCCAGTGCAGGATACAGAATTAAATATAAAGACATTAAATCAGGTGGAGGGTGTAATAGATTCCTTAATGTCTAAACGCTCTTGGTCTTAAAGGCATTTTAGAACCTGTCTGCAAATTTTAAAAAATCAACTCATGTGACCACCACATTGGCAGAAGGTTTCTATCATGCCTATGTTTTGGAATATCTTCATTGTAAGTAGGTGTTTAATAATAATTCATATTTACTTACAGTGCTTGTCCTGCTGATTGTTACAATGAGAAGGCGGAAAAAAGAGCCCCTTGTTTTCGATGAAGAGAGAGATATCAGGGAAAATATAGTCAGATATGATGACGAGGGAGGTGGAGAAGAAGACACAGAAGCCTTTGATATGGCTGCCTTGAGGAACCTCAACATCATCCGAGACACCAAGACCAGGAGGGATGTGACTCCAGAGATTCAGTTCTTGAGTAGACCATCATTTAAAAGCATTCCAGATAACGTCATTTTTAGAGAATTTATTTGGGAAAGACTAAAGGAGGCTGATGTGGATCCTTGTGCACCCCCCTACGATTCCCTGCAGACATATGCATTTGAGGGAAATGGTTCAGTGGCTGAGTCACTCAGCTCTTTAGATTCTATCAGTTCAAACTCTGACCAGAATTACGATTACCTCAGTGACTGGGGGCCTCGTTTTAAACGACTTGCAGATATGTATGGAACTGGACCAGAAAATTTGTATTCATAGCCTTCAAACCTTTCTATGACAATGCACTAAAGGAAAATAAAATAAAAACTCAATATTCGGACTATGAAAACCTGTAAATATTTCTCCATTTTTAACTTCTTTTTTTTTGCCTTGGTGAAGCATATCTTCATTAGAACTTTGTCCTAGGGACTGCACTGAACACACAGATTCTGAGCATCCAGTGGTATTTTCGGTAACATTTTAAGATGCTTGGCCATGTGCAAATAGATAGCAACACTCATATACCTGCAGAGGCAACTAACCTCTAAGAGTAAGTAGTGCACTGTGACCTCAATGAGCCAATGATACCCTATAGATGCCTTCTCAGTACTGCCAAGACCACACTGCAGAGTCTCTGCTTAGTGGGGAGAAAGGGAATAAGGAGTGGAAAAAATCTACCACGTACAACAATATTACAATATATTGTGTACTACTGATGCAAAGTTAAGTATTTTATTTACAGCACTGCATGCAGTTTGCTGGCTCAGAAATATCCATCACAATGACTTGTTTTAAAAGTTGGTTTAAAAGCTATTTAGTCCAAAAGAATCTGTAAATATCTGGGTAATTCTGAAAACAGATTGCAACTCCTATTGTGAAAATCTGCAACACGTACTATTGCCTTATTAAAATTGTTTCCAGGCCACATCAGACAATTAGCTGGGAAGTAATTCTTGCAGTGTTGTGATGCCTCTGTAGGTATGGGCGGACGTTGCTGTCTATTTATTGTTTTTGTTAATGATCTCTTCTGATTAGTACAGGAGACATTTTTTTTGCTTTGTTTTTAAATAAAATCTTGACATGTAAAAGTATGTTTATTCTGGAGTTCCGATCTCCACTTCATTCAGGTTTATTATACTGCATCATGGTATTAGATGCTTGAGAACATGCTGGTTTTTTTCCTCCAGTCTCGGCTACAGGAAGGAAATGAAGCATGGAAATACAGAAATTACAGTGAAGCAATTGAGCCCGTCGTTCATCTCTCAGAGTGGAACATTGCTACAAGGACACGCCACTGCCATTGTTCTTCTGAGCCATTACTATGTCTGAGAGAGATTTGAATAAAATGTTTTTACTTTGCATTTTCAAAAGGAAACTATAGAGGCAGTCTATAACACAAGTTGTAGTTTTCAAGGTCATCCATTCTATGTGTTCCAGCAATTTAAACAAACCTGCTCCTTCCATCAAGTCCCCTACCTCTTTTGCTGCCAAGAAATCATGGCAAAAGACTTTTTTACATTTCTTTTATATGTTAAGCAGTGTGATACGATTAGCACCAGAATCCATCTTCAGATCCTTCCTGACGCTCCATAAGTATTTTTCCCTCGGGAGTTAATTTCATAACACATCATTTCTGCACTGGTTCAGGTGTGCCAAACTAGAAAGATGATTGCAGTCGGTTAAAATAATGTCGGATTTTTGAAGTAGGATTTCGTAGAATATGACAAGTTTTTATGATTCAGGCAATATTTATATTTTAGCTGTCCTGATTTATTACTAGCAGATAAGACATGTATTCAAGTAGAATAGTACTTTATTTTAATAGTCTGTTCCTGTTTTCTTCTATTTTTCTTCGGTCTTGCTAAAGATTGGGTGTGGAGTTCCTGAATAAGGTCCCAGTCCTGAAAACATTATCCCACATACTTGGGCTTACAAACTATGCAGTGGCTACATATGAAAATAGTCCTTGAACTTGTTTGCAGGAATAGGACCTAAAGAGAAGAAAGGGACTCCATAGACAGAGCTGGATTTATGCACAAGCTAAGTAAGCTAAAGTTTAGGACCTCAAATTATGTGTGGCTTCTAATTGCAACCCCTCCCCCAAAAATGAAATTACCATTTTTTTTGGTAATTCTGTGCTGCCTCTTAAAATTGACATATTGTAGAGCCTCAGCATATCTTAATCCAGCCCTGTCAATAGAGCAGAGTTCTTCATAAAACAGTGAGCCTTCCTAAATCAAGAAGCAGATAACTGGAGTCTTCCCAAACTTTCATAACAAACACTAAGTAAATCAATTGGATAAATTTGCTTTTGTCCGAGACAAGAAGATCAGCAGAGCACTAGGTCAAGAAAGAGCCAATTAGCTCCCCATGTGCTTTAAAACCAGTACGGGCTTTAAAGCGGAGAATGATTCTTCAAAATTTGAGTGTTTTTCCTTCATGTCTGAAGACTATCAACAAAATCAGTTTCTCAATTGTATAGATGGATATTTGGAACAAATGTATGTTTAACTATTGAGTAAATGAATACCTACACACTAGAAGAGGAGAGGTGTTAGAAGGAAGCTTGTGCTTTTCCTAGCAACTGCTGACACCACTATAGGGAAGTCCACCTTATATTTTTTTAAGAACCCAGGCTCCATAAGGTTATGCTTTCTCTGAAAAGATCTTTTGTAAGGAGAAGGGGAGGACTCTTGTGAGAGAAAAGAACACCTTTAATATAACTGTAACACAAGTGAGAGGGAAATTACCTTAAATCTCTGTACTTCTTGCAGCTCCGCATTATCAGCAAACTATATGAACGTGGCCTTCAGTTTCATTAAAAAATTAAATCATGTACAACAGAGTTCTTGATCTTCGATAGCTTCTTTTGTAGACAGTGATTTTTTTTTTTCATGATTCAGTAGATTTGCTTCTAGTTGTGTGCGCGTGTGTGTATGTGAATGACTGATTTTGTAATGGAACTCGGTGGTATTGCCCATTTAGTCACATATGTAAAAAATGCAATTAAAAATGTTGAGTGTATAAAACTCAGTAAGAAGTTGAGTTGCCAGAGTTATGTAAGTGCTACCAAAAGAGGCTTCAAAGGAAAATGTTTGGTCCCAGGAAAATAGTATAGTTCAGGACTGGGATCTGAAGAACTACGCAATTACTTCCTCATACCTGACAGATCTTATGGTTTGTGTTTCTCTAACTTCAGTCTATCATGCCACATAGCACCCCTTTTTTGAAACTGGGAAAACCTTCAAAAATAGTTTGTGACATGACTTTGCGGTTTGCTGTTCAAAAGAAAGAAGACAAAAATCCTATAAGGGCATGAGAAAGTCCTTTGATGAATGTCAGTCCTGTCCATATATCTACATTTAGCTATAGACTTGCTGATTCAAGGAGATCTCTCTCAAAGGAGAAAGAACTGTAATGTGCAAATATGCCCCCTCTCTTTTTTAAATCAAACTGTATAACATCTTTTTTATAAAATATTTCAAACATTACCTTGTGTGTCTCGTTATCATTAACATTAAAATTCTTCCGTGTTTCAGCTTCCAATCACATATATTCAAGAGGAGTCAGTCCACCATATAAGTCTGCTGTTTTATTCCACTCTAGAGATGTACTTTTCAGAAGTACACAGGAATCTCTTCCATGCTCAAGCTTGCACATCTTTTTCAGCCCTGGCTGACTGTGTCATGTGTGACTGATATTTTAAACATTGTCCCACAAATCTGATAATGGTCATGAGTTAAATTTCATGGAGGAAGGGAAATAATCTTTTCTTTTAAAATCATTGTTATGTTGATTCTAGCAAATGAGATGTGCAGAATAAGTCATATGATACTAATAAACCACTTTGATGAAGTAAGAACATGGACCTCAGTTGACTCCTAAACACCACAAATGCAAAGTGCTCCTGGAGGCAGAACCTTCCCACCTTCCTCTCCTCTCAGCACACCACAACCCTGAAAAGCCAGTGCTGAAGGTAGGAGGCACCTGTGGGCAAAATGTCACGTGATGGGAATTAAGTGGCAAGTGCCTCTTTTACACAAGCTGAGAGCTTCCCTAGACAAGCAACTGCACTTCCATTTTGTTATATAGGCATTGCAAGCAGCTATCCAGATGGGGCTGATTTACTTTTTATGCCCATAATGTGTACCACCCCTTAGGGACCATTTAAATTCCATGACAGTTAATTCAATGAATGCTGCAATCCTATCCTAAGCAAGTCTAAAATTAACTCAGTGGGGTGCTTAATTCTTAATAGTAGTACATAAGATTGCAAAGCTATAGCTTGATTCTATGCATGTTTACTTAACAAACATGCTGCCCCATCTGTCTAATTATTTCCCTGCAATACCCAGTAACACTATGATATTGCCTCTGGAGTTTCCCCAGTCTTGTTTTCCATCACTGGGGTCTCTAGCAGGAAGAAGAGAGACAGATTCATGTCAGATAGGTCTATCAGTGGCTAGTAGCCATAGGGACTGGATGGGAACTTTCCCATTCAGAGGTAGCAAACTTCTGAAACCCAGTGCAAGGAGGCAGCATCAGGGGAACACTTTGGCCTCTGTACCCTGTGTGTTGATCCTGTAGGTTAACTGCTGGCCAGTGGCCACTATGAGAAACAGGATGTTGAACTACATGGACCACTGGTCTGATCTGCCAGGGCTCTTCTTATGAAGTTTCAGTGTGATGAGTGAAAAGGGACGGCATAGACAGGGGGTGCCATTTTTAATTGCACATGTTGTATATAATATAAATTCAGTGTCTTATCATTCAAACCATCATGTTTTCAGCTTAAGCAGAGACTTTACTGTGTTAATGATTTATAGGTGCTCAGCAAAGCCAAACCTAAGAACCTTCTGAGGTTCATTGCTTGTAACATGGTGCCTTCATTATCCATTTATAGTGTGTTCTTTATCTGGGTGCATAACAAGAGGAGGAAAGATGTAGAAGAAGCAAAAGGGAATCAGGTCAAGCTCCAAATTTTCCACACACACTGACATTTATTACATCCTTGCTATGCCTCAGCACCCCCTGATATAATTACAGGTTGTCCTCTCACTGAGACTAACTACTTCGATTGGGACTAAATGTGTTATAAAACCAGACATTGAAGACACTTTAGATCATTCAGGTCTGAACAGAATGGTCAGTCAGAGTTTTATTGCCTTTCTCTTTCCTAAATGATTGAAGGGGGGGGTTTCCAGGTTTTTTTTAGTAATTCCTGAAATAGAACAATACTATGATGGGGTAGTCTGAAGAGAAAAGTAGTTGTTCTATGA